CCCAACAACAACAACAACAACAACAACAATCATTTAAGACTGGGGACACTCCGTTCTCACCAGTGCCAGGGTTTTCATAGGAGGCGGGCAATACCCCCACTTTGTGGGGGGGCCGGTTCAAGCTCTACCAAATTTCCAAACGACTCTTCGCCACCACCCACACCCAGCTTCCCGCCCTATGACGTTCGGACACTTCACTTCGTGGCATGCGGACGACCGTGGCTACTATTCAGGGCCCCGCGGCCGACGACGACGGCGTGCGCGCGCGAAGAAAAAACGAATGTGTCCAATATGGTATTATTTGACAGGGATGATGGCCCTGGCATGCGCGCAACCGTTGTTGCAGAAGTTCGAAGCACGTGAAAAAGTTGCTCGCAAGAGCCCGTTTGACAGAAATGTTGAAAAAAATTGGGTTTCCTCAGAAATCCGCAAGAGCGCGCAAGATGATGTTTTGAAACTTTTGTTTTGAAAAACCATTGGGTTTTTCATGTTTTTATGTTAAAATCGCTACGAAAACTAAGGTTTTGGAAGGATTTCATCTTGCGCGCGCGAGTGTGCACTTCGTGCCATTTTTTGCAAAGGATTCTTGAAGTTTGGTTATGTTAGAACAAGACATGTCATTTTATAGTGTTTTTTGACAGGGAAAGCGGGCGTCAACAAAACAACCGGATCTGGATGACATCGTTTTACCTGAGACTTCCTCACGAAAATTATGAAAATGTGGCTGCGGCCTAGGCGCGGGGGGGGGGGGGCGTGCACCAGGGGGCCCAACAATAATTATTCTTTAGAATTAATAATGTTCAACAACAACAACAACAACAACAACAACAACAACAGAAACAACAACAACAACAACAACAACAACAACAACAACACCACCACCAACAACAACAACAACAACAACAACAACAACAGCAACAACACCAACAACAACAACAACAACAACAACAACACATCTTATCCAACAACTACAGCTGCCGCTGTTGAGCAGCCAGCCATCTGTCCCAACTGGACCACATCCGCGGGAACACCGACTGAGAGTCCTGCCCAAAACGTGCAAGAACTGCTGTCTGTCGTCGTACCCCGTACCCATACCCCTTCTCATCGTCCCTCTGCTGCTACCAGGCGAGGGAGGAGGGAGGAAAGAGAGCAGGCAGAAGACGACGACGACGAAGACGACGGCGACGACGACGACGACGACGACATCTCCCCACCCGCCTCGGTGGGCACCGAAGACGGGGCGACGGAGCGGGAGAGACGAGCAGCCCAGGGGCCTTTTGACCACCTGCCAGACCACCCCAACCCAACCCGAAGACCCGAATTTCGGGTTGGGGAGGGGTAAGGGTCCCACTCGTGCTTTTTCGACGTTTCCCGACCCCCCCCCCCCACTGGAAATCGAGGGTAAATCTGAGCCTTCGGGTTGGGTTGGGGTGGTTTGGTGGGTGGTGAGCCCAGGGGCCTTTGGAGCTGTCCGAGCTGTTCGAGGACAGCTGCCTCTGGTCCTGCATCCCCCCGTGCCGCCCCGGGTGCCCTTCGGGCAGCGCGGGGGGCGCCGGGCTGCGCCGGCGGGGAGCCGGGGAGAGACCAGGGCGCTCGTCCTCGGCGGCCGGATCCCATGGTGGCTGCGGGGAGGAGGAGGGGGCAGGGGGGGAGGGCGAACAGGGGGGAGGAGGAGGAACAGGAGGAGAGAAAAAGGGAGAAGAGGGATGAGGAGGGGAGCAAAAGGAGGAGACGAGGAAGGCGGCGGCGGCGGAGGAGAGCAGGGAGGGATCGCTGGAGGGGAATTCGAGAGGACTTGTTATGAAACAGATGTCTGGCGGCTTCTTCATCATCAGAACCACGTCGAGGTAAGTCCCATCAAACTTTGGGCGCTTCCTTTGCGGGGTCTTGGTTCTCCAGCGATGCAAGTGGTTGCGTGTGGGGCAGACGCACCGATGACCGAGAAGCGCGAGTGAGCCGGGGGCGGACACGGCTCTGTAGCCCACGCACACAACAAGAGGAGAGTCGCCCGAGCACTGAAGAAAGATCGCGGGCGGTGGAGGGCGGCGAGGAGGGAGAATGGGAGGGGAGGGGGGCGGCAGAAAACGAGGGGATGGACAGGTCCAGGCCCAGGCCCTCCCTATCTTGCGCACGTGTTGGGGCAATGCGCCCATACCACTTTGCATGACATCGTCGGCAGCCAGTTTGGCTCAGGAGTCCCGCGACGGCGCGCTTGGATCGTCCGACCTGATGCTCTCAAGATGGGGAGCGTGTGCTTAGCGTGGCACGGCGGCAGCCCCGGCGACATGCTATGCCCTGCGATCGGATACCGTGTCGCTCCGTTCCGCGGGGCGGATAGCTTGAGCAGGGACTGGTCGTCCCGGTATTCCTATAGTCCTACCACGAAATGTTTTCAGAACCCAGAAATGTTCCAAGAACGACAACCATGTTCTTAGAACATAAACCCGATGTGATAGAGCAAGACAGTCCCAACCAGAAGTGTTCTAAGAACACTTCGTGGGGACCACAAAAAGGTTCTTCTCAGAACATGGTTTGGTAGGACTCTAGGACTATAGGCGAGCCAGGACGCTTCGCCACTGCTTGAATAGCGGGGAAAGGTCAGGAAAGTTGACGCCCCGGGACGTGGATGGCGTGTCGCACCGCGGCGTGCGGAGCCAGAGCCGGCCTGGGGCTGCCCGCGCGGCGAGGCGCGCTGGTCTCATGCGACCGCGCGCCGGCATCCCCGCCTGCGCTCGGCCCTCCTCCTCCTCCTCCTCCTCCTCCTCCTCCTCCTCCTCCTCCTCCCCCTCCTCCTCCTCCTCCTCCTCCTCCTCCTCCCCCTCCTCCTCCCCCTTCTTCCTCCTCATCCTCCCCCTCCTCCTCCCCCTCCTCCTCCTCCTCCTCCTCCTCCTCCTCCTCCTCCCTCCTCCTCCTCCTACCCTCCTCCTCCTCCCTCCTCCTCCTCCTCCTCCTCCTCCTCCTCCTCCCTCCTCCTCCTCCTCCTCCTTCCTCCTCCTCCTCCCCCTCCTCCCCCTCCCCGTGCCCAGCTGGTGGCGCAGGCGACGCAGATCGGGGCCAACGTGAACGTGCCCCACCTGGCCGCCCGAAGTGCGCACGCGCGTGGCGCCTGGCGCGACAGCACGGCAGCGGCCGCCGAGGGGGAGAGGGGCAAAGGGGCCTGCTGTCCACGTGGGCCGCGCGCCTCGTCAGCTTCCCGTGGGCCTCGCGGGCGGGGGCGGCCCCCTCGTCCCCCAGGAGTTCCCCTCGCCTTCGGCCTCCTCCAACGTTTGCCTGCCCCCGCCGTCCCCCCCCACCCTCCACCCTGCTCCGTCGTCGTCGTCGTCGTCGTCGCCCTCCTCCTCTTCTTCTTCGGTCTCCTCCTCTTCCTACTCCTCCTCCCTCTGGCCTTCGGGCCAGCTCACCCGAGTCAGTATTCCGCTCGCACGGGTGCCCCCCTCCCTCCCTCCCCCTCGTTCTCTTCCTCCTTCTCCTCCTCCTCCTCCTCCTCCTCCTCTTCCTCCTCATCATCATTTTCCTCCTCCTACTCCTCCTCCATTTCTTCCCTCTTCTTCTCCCTTCTCCCCTCTTATTAGTGTTGTGTTTCCTTATTAATACTAGTAGTGTGAAAACTAGAAGTTTAATATTAATCGTATGAGTGTTTTCTCCTGAGTGTTATAAGCACGTTTAGCTTTATTCATCGTCCTCCTAATCACTCCCTCCTACTAAGAATAAATCCCTCGTCACTCCACCTCCTTCTCTTCCCCGCCTCCCCTTCCCGCTCCCTCTCCCCCTCCCCCTACCCCTCCCCCTCCTTCTCCTTCCTCCCTTCCTCCTTTCCTCCTCCTCCTCCCCCACACTACCCATTTCTCTGCCTAATTCGTCTATTATTCCCTCCTCCCTATTCCTCCTCCTCACCTTCCTCCTCATCATCTTCCTCCTCTCCTCCTCCCTCCGCTCCTCCTCCCGGAACTCGACCAACGACATCATAATATCATTCATCATCCCCTAAAATCAGTATAGTCCATCCTCATCACATCCAAAATCAGCAGCAGCAGCATCAGCAGCAGCGACACTCACATCACACCTCATTCATGATATCTCCCCACCCTCATAGCCACACACACACCACTCTGACTACTGAGAGACACCACCACCACCAAACACCATTCTCAACTATACACTCACAAACCACCACATCCCCCGCATCATTCATGACCCCCATCAGCAACAGCAGCATCGGCAGCTACTCAGCATCAGCTCAGCATCATCATCGTCATCAGCATCATCAGCAGCAGCATCATCGTAATCATAACTCATCATCAGCAGCATCAACATCATCAATCATCACATCATAAGTCATCGTATCATCATCATCAGCAGCAGCAGCAGCCTCACCATCACCATCATCATCTCATCTCATGTTCATTCCTCATCTCATCCTCATTCTCAATCCTCATCTCATCCTCATCCTCATCCGCATCCATCATCATCATCATCATCATCATAATCATCATCATCATCAAATCACACAATCTCATAATCATCATCATCATCATCATCATCATCATCATCATCATCATCTTCATCCCACCTCCTCCTCCTCCTCCTCCTTCTCCTCCTCCTCCTCCTCCGCCCTCCCCCTCCCGTCAACCCCCCTCCTCCAACCCATGCCGCCCGTGGACCTGGCGGGGACGACGGCACTACTACGGGGGCTACCGCATCGAGCCAAGTAAAGTTCCCGTTGAAGCCACTCCCGAAGCTCCGCGTGCCGATCTGTGGCCAAGTGTTCCAAAGCCGGCGCCGACTGACAAGCCCAGAGAAAAGCAGGGGTAAAGGGAGGAGGGGGGGAGGGCGGGAGGGAGTGAGGGAGGAGGGAGGACGGAAAAGGGGCAGAAACAAGCAACAATCCACACCAACTGGAACGGCGAAGGAAGAAAGAGATCGAAGAAGAGGGAGAGGAGGAGAAGGACAAGGCGGCTGACAGCTCAGAAGTGCCCAGCTCCACGCAACATCCCTGCTGTTCTTCCCATTGACCCTCCCCCGCCCCCAGGCCGCCCACACCGTCCCTCACCCGACCACGGCGCCGCTCCCGGTGGGGGAGCGGCAGCGGGGGATCAGCTCAGGGAGAGGGGCATCGAGCTTACATCGGCGATGCCTCGCCGACTGATCGGCGACAGGCCCCCCGCCTGCAAAACCGCGCGCTCCTGGGCGTGGTGGGCCCTCGCCCATCGGCGATGTGTGGGTGGTTGGGGGGCCCATGCGCCCCCCCCCCCCCCCTGAGCCTGCTCCACACCACCACGCCTAACATTAGGTCGGGCGTGTCCTCCTACAGACGGATGTTCGACGAAAATTAAGAGATTGCCAACAAATATCCAAAAGAGATCCAAAATTAGTCAAAACAAAAAAAAAGTCCCCAGGCTATATTTCCAGTATTTCTGAATATTCCTCCTGTAGAGGGACACGCTGGACTGAACCCTACCAGGGCCACCCAGCTTTGGGGTCACGTCGCGGCTTGCTGGCGGCCGCTCGGGCTGCCTCGGGCGTCCCCGGCACGCTCTCGACGAGGCGCGGCACCCCGAGGCTGAAACACCGCCGAGAACTGACGGCGATTTCTGCGTCGGCGGCTACGTAGGCAGGGGACGCCTGCGCTGGCGATAGGATGCCTAAGCGGGGATGCCGTTGGAGAGAATTGTGCCACCATGCAAGAGGAGGGGTGGGGGGAGGCGCGACCGAGAAAGTGGCGGACGGAGCGAGCGGCTCAGAGGGGGACGGATCGCTCCCCGAGCGAGGGGCGCGGCCAGCTCCGGTCGCGAGTCCGCGGCGGCAGAACTGCTGAACACAACCACACACACACACACTCAAACATCTCGAAGCACTAACCTCGAAGCCTTCGATCCGGGCACCCTTGGAATCCTTTCGGCAAGGCGCAGACTCTGGGAAGCATTGCGGGTTGGAAAACTGTCGGGAACGAACGAGCATGTGCGACAACCTCGAACCTCGAGTCACTTCGCCGCCACGCACCCCCCACAATTTCCCCATCTTGCCTGCTGGCGTCGCCATCGCTACGATCACGAACAGTGGGTGACGATATGCCGGCAAGATGCATCAAGCAAGCCCGGAGTCACGCGAGGACCAACGTGCAGTGGGCGAATGAACGCGCGAACCCTTGGTTTGTGTAGAAAATTGCGGCACCATGGATTACCCTTGACCCACCTCCCTGGGCGGCGTCGCCTAAGGTTTTCAACGGGTGCCCTTCGGCACGATCGGGATGGGCACAGAAAGAATAGGCATGAAGACCGACAGCAGTTCCTGCCCATTTTGAACAGGGTTCGCTGTCGACGTCGCTGCGGACGTTGTCCGTTTGAGGTGCATGGCTGCCTGCCCAGCATTAGCCGATGTCGGTTTGGGGACAGAATGTGTCGTTTGTTGTTGGGCATCGTGCCCATTTTTGGAGCAGAACATAAACGACCCCACCCCTCCCACTGCCCCATGGAGCTTAGCGGGTACCAGGATATCTGGAGAGGGTCTTTGCATGGTATACGCTACGGCGCCCGCTGGACCGTAGCACAACATGGAGAGGTGGGGTGGAGTCATTTGCTATCTAGTCGATGTTGCCGTACCCATGTCGGCCGTGCAAAATCCAAC